AGTCACAGTTAGTTTCCTTGACCGATTACTACCAACCTGTCTTTCAACCTTATACCTGTCGTTTGGGAGATTGCCCAAGTCCGTGAAATAGCACTTTTATCAATTCCAAACTCTTGGGTGATAGGCGTCAAACTACGCCTGTTCTGAAGCTTGACAATCATTCTACCACATGCAAAAGTCCTGGTGTTTTCGTTTAGTCATACTGCATGTACAGGCTCCCTTTCACTTGCAAAAGAATGCTTGGAAATCACCTTCCTTTCTTCTTTTTAAATTGTCATTCACATCGCGCGCTGACTACTCGTGTTTTGCGTGCTCTGACGTAGCCTCTGACGTCATGTTTTAGATATCTGCATATACATCACCTTTCTACTGAGTTGGCTTTTCATTGTACTGATCGCAAAATGCCCTTTTCATCAATTTTATGTTTATATGTTGCAAAATGAATTTGTTGCTTAAGTTTTGCACACTAGTACGAGTTATTGTATTATGTTATATGTAATTAATTACAGTCTCAAAAAAGTAATGGGACACTTGTGCTTTACAAAAGGAAACTGCAATAAAATAAATTTAAAAAACATGTAAAATTGTTTGTGGGTGTGTTTCATACTTAAATTTAGTAACAATTATTACATAACATACATTTTCTCAAAATATAAAAATATTAATTTAATAAAAATACAATTGTTTAGAACGGAGCAGAAAATGGCTCACTTAAGTGATGGGACACTACGTACTATGCAACAAAAATCGTCTGAAGTAAGCAATAAAAATATCTTTTGGGGTATTTATTTTTACTCAAAAGCAATTGCCAATAATTTATAAAATCGTCTGCAGTATTTCTCTCCAGTTTGTTTTGGAATTTTTGTGTTTTTTAGCTCTGTGCAGCCATGAATGCTAAACGAAAAGAAACTTTGCCTGCAATTCAAAAATTAGTTATTAATTTGCATATTGAACGTGGAAAATCTATTAGAGAAACTACTGAAACAGTTAACTTCAGTCATTCAACAGTTTTCAATATCATTAAACGATATAAAAAGAATCATATGATTCAGGATAAAAGAAGACCTGGCCGACCATAAAGCTATCCAATGGAATAAAGTGAATTATCGTTCGAAATATTTAAAAAAAAATCTAAGAATGAGTGCTCCTACAGTTGCTGCTAATTTACAAGCATTATATGGAGTAATTGTTAATTCTGAGACTGTTAAAAGAGTAATTCGATCTACTGGATATCAAGGTAGAGCAGCCAGGAAAAAATTCTTCGTAAGTGAAAAGAATAGAAAACTCAGACTGGCTTTCGCAAAATGCAACATAAATAAGAATTCTGATTACTGGAATGAAGTTATATTTGCTGATGCGAGTAAATTTAATATATTTGGTTCTGACGGTAGAATCTTGGTGTGGAGAAAACCCAGGGAAGAATTTCGCAAACAGAACTTGGTGCCAACAGTAAAACATGGTGGAGGAGGAGTTATGGTATGGGGGTGTATGTCTTCCGCTGGAATTGGTAATCTTGTTTTTATTGACAGTATAATGGATCAGTACAAGTATATTGACATTTTAAATCAAAATTTGAAATCTTCAGCACGAAAATTGAACCTTCATAACGATTTTAAGTTCTACCAGGACAATGACCCCAAGCACACTGCTTTGAACGTTAGACTCTGGCTGCTGTATAACTGTCCTGAAAAAATAATAAAAACACCCCCACAATCTCCACAATTAAATCCCATAGAGAATATTTGGCAAGAATTGGAATCAAGAATTCGCAAACACACCATTTCTTCAAAACAACAATTAAAATCGATGCTTCAAGAAGAATGGGGTAAAATCACTCCAGAAATCACAAAAAATTAGTCGAATCCATCCCAAGAAGATTAAATTCACATTTTAAAAGTAAAAGGAAATCCAACAAAAAATATTAAAACCTTTTAAAAGTAAAATTTTTTGGATAAATATTTGATGGAAAAGTAAATGCCCCATCACTTACGTGAGTATCCAATCACTTAAGTGAGCCATTTTTCTGCTCCGTTCTAAACAATTGTATTTTTTATTAAATTAACATTTCTAATATTTTGAGAAAATGTGTGTTATGTAATAATTGTTACTAAATTTAAGTATGAAACACACACACAAGAAATTTTACATGTTTTTTAAATTTATTTTATTGCAGTTTCCTTTTGTAAAGCACAAGTGTCCCATCACTTTTTTGAAATACTGTATATCTATAGTCAAACAGTAAATGTAAACAGTTATTAATTATTCACCTCACTTTGTCATTTTTAATATTAAAGTAAGCCGAGTAGTAGAAGCTTACTATTTTTATTTTAATAAAAAGTGATAAATGATAATGGTGTATAACTTTTATAAAGGTCTTAAAATAATGACTTAAATTGATTAATGTTTCATAAACGGTGAAGAAGAACAACTAAGAAACTGTTCATGTAATAAATAACAAATCTCTTCTTTAATTTATTTTAGTTATTTGTTACTATGCAAATACCATTTTTCTTAAAGTCAGTTTTTACTCTATTGTGCAAAGAAAATAACATTTTTCTGAAATGGCTATGATCGGGAAAAAAATTGAGTGACAACAAAATAAATCAAAGAGTAGAAGTTTTCTTAGAAAATGTGGCAACACTCTGAAACTTCATGACGCTTTCTATAACTTCATGTTCATGAAACTTTTATTCCAAAAATAGTAAGGCGCATTCAACAATGAAAGTTTCATCAAGAAAGCTATCAGCTATCGTCCTTTTGGCAAGTACCCAGGAAAAGTTACGCGACGAAAAGTTACGGTGAAAAATATATACGTGTGAAATATTATTAAAAAGGAAAAACATTCTTTAAGCTCGAACATAAAGCGTGCCATCAGGTAGCAAAGAAATTTATTCTTCTTTTTATTTTGTTATCCACATTTGGCAGCAGACGGGAGAAATGAGATACTCCGTTTTGCATGCATTATCGCGTTCGTAATGTTACTTCTTACTTTTTTCTTTTCTTTAAAATTTTGTATTTTTTGATGAACTTCTTTGAAGTTCTGCGGAGTAGTTAGAGTCGTTAGGTAGAATCGTGCTGAGATGCATAATGGACTTCTACATTTCTTAAATGTTTTGTCTTTTTTTTTTAACGTCTACAACAGAGAAAGCATTAAATAGTTGCTGCAAATGAGTTTTTCTTAGCAAAGGAATTTATCATTTCAATTAGTTTATTTTTCACTTGAATATACAAACATACTTTTTTTTCCCTTAACGTTCAAAGAAACTAGTATTTTAAGCGGAGATTTTGATTTGGATCATAAAGAAACTAGTTTTTGTGAGCTAGATGTTAAACTTTGCTTTCATAAGTCATATTATCAAGAATTTAGATTTAATTCATACCATTTGAAATCTAACGGTATGAAATGAACTTGCTAATTCTCTGAGTCGTGATATTACAAATATATTTTTCAAATAGTTTCATTTTTAAAATTACGTGTATATTTCATATTCACATATCTTAATCATAAAATTGGCAACATATAATTTAAACCCTTCCATAATTATTATTCTATTAATTACTAGTACCTTTTGTTCATAAAATATGGAAGCCCGGGATATGTAATTTTATTCTTTAACAGAAAAATATGTTTTATACGTATAATTTAAATATGCTGCTAAAGGTATCTATCTAAAGGAGCTTAATTCAGGAATTCAGACCCCTATTTGAAATTATTTCAGCAGCTTACACGAATGAGCTGCTATGCTATAGCAGCTGAATGCCTGTATACAAAGAACTACCCGTGTAAAAATTAAGAAGATATTTATTAGTCCATATGTTATATGTTGTAAATAAAATAGTAAATTAAACGGATGGCTTACCTCTACACAAAATTACAAGATTTGACGACTTGATAGTTAACCACTTTCAACTAGGTTTCATAATAAGATCTTATATTCCAAACTAAACCTGGATCGAATCTGCTGTTTCTGACTTCTTAAAGTAGTTTACTAAGCACAATAACTAACTGTATACAATTACTACAGGAAAGGTTACTTAGTCAACTCTTGCATCAAGCTCAGTCTTCTGCTTACCTTTAATTTTGAATATGTGTTCTGGTCTGAGCGAACATATTGGCAACATCCAAGAAGAATATAATAGAGTTTAACTCAGATCTAACTGTTAGCAAAACTAAGTAATGATATTCATAGTTAATGTAATATCTTGTTTATTCCTTGCCATGCGTTCCCCTATCTCTATTTACTATGTATTAAAATTATCGCTTTTAATGTTGTCTTATCGCTTTGTTTTCTAATAGGAAGGCATCCTGCACGTTAAATGGAATTTGATTATTGGTCTTTAAATGATAAGTGCTTGTTAATATCTGGAAATCTCAATATAAAATCTTGGCTCTGTTGAAGTTAAATGTCCTTTAGACCTCTGGTTCCTAGCGGGTTTTGTATTGGTCCCCTAAGTGTTAATGAAATTTTAAAAGGGGATCAGTGGTTATAAAAGATTCGACAGCTGAATATCCACGGGCAGTCAGTTGATTGGAATAGTAAAATGCCATTGATTAAAGATAAATGTTTAAAAAATAAATTAAGCGATTTTATGACAAATAGATATTGAAACAATTGCATTCAAGCGTAGCCATTATATCAATTAAAATCGAATTTCTATGCAATTGAAATCTGTGATTTTGTTTCTGAAAATTTGTTTATGTTTGTAAATTTTTTTAAATAATAATATAATAATACAAATAATAATTAAACATAAATCTACTAAACCATTTTTTCGAAACTTTTGTTCATACTCTTAATAATCTTTTCTTTAAGTTATTTATGTGCATGTTTTTGTATTATGATTTTGATGTATATTGTACCTTATACTGAAAAGAATAAGGGTGGGGGGGGAGTCGACGAAGAAAATCCTTCCTTAAAGAGGTGATGCAAAAAAATGGTTGGAAATTCCTGTTATAGATATATAAATAGCAGCTTGAATATTTCGAAATTTATTTGCAGGACCACGTCGAGATGACTCGCATGACGATGCTGAGCCCCGCCTACAGGGGTTTGTTGACTAGTGCCTTGGAATCAGTGATAGAACGATCGCAGGACTTCACGGACTCCGCTTACACCTCACATGAGCACCGGGAGCGCATCATCTTGCTCTGCGACAGGCTCAAAATGGAGCTGCACCAGCTGCTCCGAGTGGGACTGCAACTCGTAAGTACGACTCCAAACTTGATTATTCTCATCCTTACTGGAATCTGGAATAGACCAAGCAACTGGGAAATGCCACCGGTTATGTTGAAGAAGAGTCATGTGTTTTGCCGAGACGCTGTACGCAGATGTGTCGTTCTGAAAAGTTGGAAACGATTACTGTCTATTCAGTTTTCTATACAGTAGGACACCGCTTTATATGATAGTGATTAATGTTAGTATTCGGATATTATAGCCGAAGTTCTGCCCGTTGGTATACGAAAGTGTGGAAAACACATCGCTTATTGTGATCAACAGTTCGGTTAATATGATCAAAGTGTTGTACAATGAATTTTTCAAACTGAAGTTAAGTCGCCAAATGAGTTAAAATGATTTAAAATGAAATATAGTACCGCAAATAACGATTATGAGAGAATGTTAAGGTATCAGCGGAATTATCGAAATTACCGCTGATTCCTGTTGCCTTAACATTCTCCAATAAATTCAAAATTGATTATAAAATTACGAAATGTCGCCAAATAAAGTATTAAGTCACCAAACAGGTTGGTTTTGAATTTAGTCAACAATTTAAAACCAGCAAAACAAATCTTAGTTTTGAAGTAGATTTTTAATAATTCTAGCGATTTTGAGGGGCCAACCAGCTGCCGAGCAGTAAAATCGCTGAACATTGGTAGTTCGATTTGAGGCTCGAATCCATCGAACGGGGTGGCTGCAAAAGCGTTTTCGTGGTTTTCTCGTGTGTAAGATGTGTACAAGCCAGTTTTCCTTAGAAGGTCCTCCACGAAGGCATTCCTCGCGTTAGGTAGATAGCCCTCTAGTGCTTTGCCATAATCAAATAAACCAAAACCAAACCAAATTTGGGAAAGAAAAAAAAAGGGGGGGGCACAGACACTAGTCTCTCTTCCTCCGTTCCAAAATCATTTCTACAGAATTTAAAACATCTATACAGAGTCTAAGCTAAAGGTTGATTCTTTTTAGCCTAATTTTAAACTTTACATTGGTAGATTATCCTCCAATGAGGGATGCTCGATGCTTTCTGAGTTTTAAGATTAGGGGTATAGGTACAGCATCGGTTACATAATATCCAGAAACGTTAGGAACAGTTCATAAGTGAGCTCTTCAGGTAAAGACATTATAAAGAGTTCACTTTTGCATTTTCCAAGTTAAAAGTATCTAAAGATGTGAAAGTGCTTATTTATATTTTTTAGTTCATATTTATATAAACTGGTTTAATTCCATTGTTATTTTGTAGGATACTTTTTCTCATAGTTTAGTGTTACCATTCGGTTAATGTTATCAGAACAGCGGTGGAGAAACGTGACCACTTTAATATATCCTGAAAAGAAATTTAGTCTGTGTTTTTATACATATAATTGTCTCTGTAGAAGTATATTAGACAAATCTGGTATTTAGAGAGTAAACGAAATAAAAAATACTCGTGGAGTGTATAATTTAATGATTACGCATTACATTTGTTTCTTAATTATTATAGTTAGCTTTCGTAATGGAATCTGTGTAAGATAATTGTTATGTACGTAAGTTAATAATTGTGTTAACTCTTTTAAAACTGCGATATTTTTATTACTCAATTATTTTTTATTACGGTTTTTGTGTCAAATTATTCTTATTTATACTTTGTAGCAATTAATGATACTGCACACATTCGAATTTCCCTATAACCAATCCGACTTATAACGAAAACACCGGATGTTACGAACGAACCTTTTGTTCTGTCATACGGCCCCCGTTATGCTGCTACAATAAGCTTTTAAAACTATGAAAACCGTATGAAACGACCTGTAAGCATTATCTTCGATTCGGTTTTCTTTTACCTTCACTCTCATTTTTCTTTATGTTCTAAAAAGGTTGTGTAAGACAGGTGTGACACCCAACTCTGGAAGAACGAGGATACAATAAGGATATCTTAGGACACCGTATGGCTAAGCAAAAAATGTAAATATGTTCTCAGATTCCATTAAAATTCTTTGTTTGAGATGCCAAACAAAGCTCTACTCAAGACTGATGTTATGATGGAAATCGTGAAATTTTCGCTATTCAGAGAAAGGGGATTTTACAGCTGAATCCTCTTTTACAGAATAAAGGTTTTTTATTCTTATCGGTGTGTTTTGCCTGAGTATAAATGCTTTCCACGTTCTATCTTTCAATTCGGAATTTTGTGCTGTTTAGGTCTCTTGCAAGACACAGAATTTTTTTAAAGGTTGTTGAATCTTTGCTTTGCAACAATACATATCTTGGGGGCGGAGCAAAATGACTCTGTTCTCTCTGTTCATTGGATAAGATATTGTTACGTTATTTTCTTTCTTGACGTTTATACGTTACGGGTTCGTACGCATTTGGAGTGAATAACGACGACACTTGATGAAGTACCGAAAAACGCTCTATTGGCCAGTATTCTTAGCACAGCTCCAAAATCCCGTTTTACAGTCATCGAAAAACTATTATAAACACGCTGACACAATCAGCGACACAGCCTTTAAACTATCAGGCTATAACAGTCAAGACAACTTCGCTGCAAAGACTCTGCTCAGTCGTTCTCGGAACTCCACGTACTCTCGAGACTCTCCACACTACAACTCGCGATGCACTCGACGACACACAGAGCACAGCTCCCGACTCTTTGGTTCAGTCGTTCCCGGAGCTTAACACACTCTCTCGATGATGCAGTAACCGCGATACACTAAGAGACTCTTTCGATGCACTCAGCTACCCACTCGGCACTCGCTGCCCGGCTGTCAACTCGATCGACTCCGCACGGACTGACTAACTCGAGGCACTATCTCGCACTGACTCTCCGCGTACCAGCAGGGTTTATATAGTTTTTGGCTTGTGTTCGAGAACATTCTGGGAACCGGTGAGAATTCGTTCCAGAAGGTTCTCCATCCGTCCATGGCATATCGCCAATTTTTTCGCCAAAGGTGGCAACCCTGCCTTCCCTTGCCATTTTATGGCAACCCTAAACCTCCTTTGCGAGGAAGCTATCTTACCGCGCCTTGAAATTTCGTAAGAATATGTAGCTGATGAAATTACTATCCGTTTCATCCTTTCCAGAAGAGAAAACATTTATATGTTTTTTTGACCAAACTCTCTCTGCTCTGTTCTATGTCAAAAATTCATTCATGTTACGAGTTGTAAACATAAAGCTTCTGTAGAAGTTAAGGTGTACATTAGTAGAATAAAAACAGAATTGGCGTAGTCACATTAGTATGAAGATACAGTTTATTCAAATCTGCAGTTTAGTATCATATGGAAAAATCTAAACTCTGAAATTTCTACTAACGAAAAAATAGGGTACGAGGAAGAAGATCGGGAAAATGGAGCCTTAAGAAGTTCAAGCATTGTTAAAACGGTTCGCCGTTCAATAAGTAATGTAAAGTGCCAAAATTTGGACATATGCCTCAAAGACTAATGACTTTGTCAGACACACTTTGGAGAAACAGGAAAAAAAACGAGGAATAAATTTAATTACAGCGCGAAATAATTATTATAATTAAAGATCAATGAATTTAACTAGATTTTTATTCATTTCTTTTGCTAGATACGACAGTTTTAATCCGTTTTCTGAATTAATTATTAAATTTTTACATGTTTTTGTGAGACATTTCATTTTTTCCCTCCGGAATGGATATAACAAACTAAAGTTTCGATCCCTTAAAGTGCATTCTAGCAAGGTTTAATTGTATATCCAAAATATTAAAGTTAATGTAATTTAAAATGATCACGTTTGAGCCAATATTTATTGAATATTTATAGTAATTCTTAAGACATACGGCTTATCGTTTCTGTAACATCTCAAGTAAATATTGGTTTCATTTTATTTTGGCTAACATACTTTTGTTTGCAATCTAGGAGCAGATAGGTCAAATTTCTCCGAATGAAGAAATGGAATCTGCTATACACGAGACACTCAGAGCTGCCAGAGACTTAAAACTTCAAGTAAGTAAATTTTATCTCATTTCGTGCCATTGCTATTATTTTGAAAATACTTGTAAGTATTAAACTTACATACCGTATAAATTTCTATTTAGGAAAGTGGATATTAAAATGAAAACTGTATACCTGGTCGTTTAGTACTGGTACTGTAACTATGTGAAAACTACACTGTAAAAATGTATGCACTGCCTTAAACAATGCATATAGACAATGCTTATATGCGTATATTTGTCTTGCAATTTACTTCTGGCTAGGATTTACAGGAGATTCGTCTCGTCTAAACTTTCAGCTGACTTAGGAAGTCAAATAGGCGAAAGATAACTTACGAAGTTTATCTCGTTGTTTTTACTTCCTTGTACGAAGTAAAGGAATTATTGTAGTGCGGAAAATTTTCGGGTGTCGTATTTCAGAGAAAATATCCATTTTGGCCGATATCGAATGCAATTTAACGATGTTTTTGCAAGATATCTGTACATAAGAACAGAATAAAAGGCTGTTTCTCCGGAAACGGGTTGCAAAAAAGAATTTTAAATGGATTCAGAAGAGATTTTTTTCGTGAACTCTGTACGTACGTACGTTTCCATGTATGTATGTATCTAGCATAACTCAAAAACGAGTAGCCTTAGACCGTTGACTGCTGTATCATATAGTTGTACTAGATTGCAGTCGGCAGCATCAAAAGTGTATAAATATATATATTTATGTATACCAACTCTGTCACTCGGCTCCGTGAGCTCAGTTTTATATATATATATAATTCTTATATATTGGTAAACTGTGCATTTTTGCTTTAAAAATGATTTAATTAGGTTTTTGCTATCTTTCAGTTAAGGTTTTTATGCCTTTAGTTAATCTGCATGCAGTAGTTGTAGAATTATTAACAATTTAAAATTTGTTTAAATGCGGCTAAGCCTAATGTTTTTACGACAGCAGCCATATTTGTTTACATTTGAAACTTAGTAGAATAGTGAATTAAGTCGGTTTCTGCACCTTCAGTGTCTTTTTGCCAAGTGGGATCAAAAATTCAGTTTTGTGCACCGAAAAATCTGCCTTCTTGCACGCTGGTCGAATTGCTTGTTTTTGTGTAGACACTCTAATCTTAACTGTAATTTTTTTAAAAAATTGTTTTAACTGCATTTGGTGTTTTATATTTTTCTATATTTTTTCAATTTTCAACAATTTTGAGGTTTTATGCATTTTTGCCTTGTCGCGAAGGGATAACTGAATTAATTGAATAAGACATATATCTCTAATGAAATTCGAGGAAATAAATTTAAATGAAATGAAGGAAAAAATGCGTATAATTTAATATTCCATACAAGAGAGTCATGTGGTGTTTATACGCTTGCATGAGATTTTTGTGGTTTATCTAATGCTTAAAATGGTGTCCGCTTAAAAGATAGCAGCAAAATCTTCACGTACGAAACCATTGCAAGGAAAGCAATGCAAGAAGGAAATATCTTCGGACAAAACACAGTTGGGGGGGGGGAAAGAAATTAGAAAGATATCCCAGTTCTAAAGCATCGTGATACAAAATAAAGAGGGTCAAAAATGGCAGTTTTAAAATACCGTGGTACACTCCGAGGAAAATGGACAGTTTTACATCTTCTGTTGTACTGGGCCGATTGACGAAATTTGTTTGAAATTTAGGTTCAATCCAAACAAAAATTCTCAGATATTTTCTAATTAATTTTTTTAATTTGTATTTTTTATAAAATTTTCGAAAAAGGTTTTGAATCATAACTTATAAAAATTTTACCATCACCTTAAAGAAATGCCTTTCTAGGCATAGAAGCAAAAAATTACAGATTTTTATTCAAAATTTCCAAAGATATGCGCGAGTTTATATATATAGCACGATTTTAAATTTGGCATACTTGTTATAACGGATAATAATGCGAAACGTGGTTTATGCATTTTTTTAAATTATTTGAAAGAATGAGCAAAGCAAATGAACAAAGAGCACCGTTTTTTTTTCGCTCATATGCTATGAAAGGGAAGAAAAAATATGTTATACCAATTGAATAATTCTTGGTGCAAACGGAAAGAAACTGCTACAGGATTAAATTTCTCGGTAAGTTTCTCACCACATTTTACAAAATTTGATATTTAGGCAAAATTTATCCATAATCAGGAAAAAATGTTTTTTGATCAAAATACGAATGTTAGAACAATGTTATATATAAATCTAATATGTATCCAAAGACTCGTTTTCGAGACATGAAAGAAGCAGATAAATTTTTTCAATCGGATAAATATATGTTTTCAGACTGTACGAGGTTACATAATGTTAAAATTGTTTAATTAATTATCAGATTATTTGGAATCTTTTCATCATATGATGATCTGTAGTTCCTTTTTTTACCGCGATAGATGATTACGCGACGATGTTTTAAAACTGCAGAGGTTTTGAGCCGCTTTCTTTACTGCCGTAGTGTTTTAAAGCTGTTATGTTTTCTCCTTTTTTTTCTTACCTCTCGCGATGTTGATGTTTTCCTCTTGCGTTGTTTTCTTCACAATGTTTTCGCCCGCTACTGTAAAATCAATAACATCCAGTTATCTTCATATTTCCATCTAGAAAAATATCCCTCTTTTTTATGATTATTATTTTTTCCGTCTTAGTTATTTAAAGCTTCTTAAATTACCGTTACAATTTGTATTTCCTTGCGTATACTTTTCTCACATTCCTAAAGAAACGGTAGTTCTCAAAGCTGATACAATACATACCACCACGCCAAAATGTATATGTCCTTAAGTTTTCTGAACTTTCAACAAGACTTGTAATATCTCCTACATAAAACAAAACCCATTTGTACGTAAGTGGATGTACTAAGTGTTCCATATTGATTAATTATAAGCAATACTTACAATGTTTCCTGTTTGGGCCATTGAATATCATTACCATACGTAACAAAAATATTTTTATGACTCTCTGTCCTTTTAAAATAAAAGCGAACATTCTTAAATTTTCTTCATCCCAAAAAGCGGTCATGAATAATTCAAGGGTATATTTCTGTTCTGGCATGTTGCGAAATATATACAAAACGATCAAAACTTCTTTTCTGTAAAGTTAATATCATCTGGAATATACCATATCTTGAAACACAATCCCGTTCCATTTTAAAAAGTCAAAATTCTTTCATTGGCTTTCTCAAATGACATCTTTTTCATCCTCCTATCCAAGCTTAAAAAGTTGGGGAATCTCTCCAAGTTTATATAAAAAAAAAATTTAAAACTGTCTGCATATAGTTTTTTGCATGATCCACTGAATAAGCTTTGTGCGTCGAATGACAATTTTGACGAAAGTTCTATGTAAAAGGGAAATTTGAGCCAGTTCCTGTGTTTTCCTTTCCGTAATGTTGTTTGTTTTTCTCGGAAAAATTCTTAGCTTTCACAAAGAAAAAGAAATCTAAATTCTGGAAGGGAATGAACACAAATTGCGTTATATAAGATAAAAGAACAAATTTGACTTTTGCATATGAATAGGCAATGAAGCAAAACACAAAACTGATGGCAGAATTTTGTTTAAGTATTTCTTTTTAATTTGTTTGCCATGATAAAATCATGCGTTTTTATTTCCCTTTTTGATTACCTCCCGCCAACCCATATACGTATGGCTAATCGTAAAGGGAGGTAATGCTTTCACGAAAAACAAGCAAGTTTTCAGTACAATAATAAGTGCGAAATTACTACTTACTTTGTCCTCGTTTTTACTATTTTTACAATGATGTCTTTCTATGTGTCTGTATGCCCACGCGAGGCACGATTATTTCGTCCACGATAACTCTTATATGAAATTTCCAAATTTTTTTTTCCCGTATTTAAACTTTCTGCATTGATATAAAGAGCTTATTAAATTTCGGGTAAAAGTGGGAAATCGGAAGTGTTACTTTACCTGAAGCCCATATAACTGTTAATGAGCAACCGAATGTGGTACTTCGAAAAAAAAATGAGACAGTTCTGTATATCCCGTTCTACTGTGTCGATTGACGAAATTCAACTGGCGTTTTTCATGTCTCGAAAGCGTGACTCAGGATATGTATTAGATTTATATATATCATTGTTCTAATATAGGTATTTTGACACAAAATCGGACCTTTTCTGAAATGACATGTCAATTGTTTTCCATATTTCGATTTTACGACTCAACTGCCAAGTTTTGTAAAAATCGCACGAGTAGTTTTTAAAAAATCAATTCTCAAACTTTTAGCTCCTCAATATTAAATGAATTTGACATCTAATTTATTGATACTTATTTTTTTTATTAAACTGACTTGATTCCTTCTTCCAGAATTCAAAATTTAAGAGTAATCTAAAATAATTCTCAGATTTCTTATGATTTTAGGACTAATTTAAAATAATTCGCAGATTTTTTATGATTTATTTTTTAAATTTGTATTTTTACATAATTTTTTCGAAAACGTTTTTGTATTATAACCTATAAAATTTTTAATATCGACCTAAAGTGGACGTATTTCTAGCCCACGTGCAAAAAATTAGAGATTTTATTCAAAATTTTCTAAATTATACATGAATTTACATATTGGAGCGTTTTGAAATATGGCACATCTGTTATAAGCGATAATAACGCCAAACGTGGTTTACGCACTTTGTTAAAATTATTTGAAAGTATGAACGATGCCTTTTTTACCCGCTCGTGTATAATGAAAAAAAAAAAAAAAAAAACAATAAGTTGCTATAAATTAAGAAGTTCGCCAAGTAAATTATTCTTGGCGAAAACTGAAAAAACGTTCGACAAGGTAAGTTTATAAATTTCTCAGCGGCCGAGCGGTAAAGACGCTGAACACTGGTAGTTCGGTCCGAGGTTCGAATCCCGCGAACGGGCTGGTTGCAAGGGCGTTTTCGTGGTTTTCCCCGTGTGTAACGTGTATACGAGCCAGTTCCCTTAGAAAGTCCTCCACGAAGGCATCCCTCCCCTTAGTCAGATAGCCCTCGTGTGCTTTGCCATAATTAAATAATCCAATCCATTCTCACCAAAATTT